AAAAAAAAAAAAAAAAAAAGAATATTAATTATAAAAAAGTACTACCAAATCCTTTTTTCCCTGAGATAAACTCTGTCAATTATTCAATTTTCCTCAACCAGATATTTAATATTTTAAATGTCAATGGAAATGTAATTTACATAGTTTTAAAAAAATGTTTTAAAATCTTATTTTGGCATAGGGACCTTAGTTCGTTCCCTGTGTGTGGTGCTGGAACTGCCTCTGGGGTGCGCTGAGACTGCGACTGAGACTGGGCATGATGGTGTGCACCTGTAATTCCAGCTCTTGGGAGGCTGAAAACACAAGAATCACTATGACTCAGATCTGTGTACTGAGATCCTGTAGACCTTGTACTAATTACATTTAAAAAAAATCTTATTCGTTTATTTATTTGATACAGGGTCCTGTTATGTAAGTCAGACTCCTAGTAATGTTCCTGTCTCAGCCTTCCCAGTGCTGGGATTACAGGCATGCACCACCACACCTGGTTTCAGTGGCAGACACGGCACCCCTTGAGGTCCTGGGGCCAGCATGGGCATGTAGTACCAGGGATCGAATCCAGGTCCTTGGGCTTGCCAGGCAGGTGTTTAGACTGCTGAACTATTTCCCTAGCCCCTGTACAGTTTTTAAAATTGCTTTTTCACTAGCAATATCACAAATGCAAGAAAGTCAAACCAAACTTTTACTATTGCAGAAAAATGAAGTCTAGACAAGAAGAGTAATTATATTTATTCCAACTATCTAAGCATAGTAACTGTTAACATTTTGGTGTATTTCCTTTTATATTTTAAAAAAATTACATAATACCTATGTAGATAGTAATTTAGGAATGAGATCATACCTTAGAAGCTGTTTCCTAATTATCTATCACCAGTATTCCATGAACATTTTTCTGAGACAGTAACTTTTAAAAGTACTGGGATGAGGGTGTAGCTGCGGGCTATAGCATGTATTTAGCCTGCGAGAGCTTCTGGTTCAAGGCCCAGCACACATACAAAGCACTGTAATAATTATGTCAGCCACAGCAGCTGCTGCTGTTTCCTCTTCCTTTTCCTCTCCTCCATCTTTTCTTTTTTTAAAATATATATATATATATATATATATATATATATATATATATATATATTTTTTATTGAGTAATAAATATGAATGAGACAGTTTCATAGCTGATTAATAGGACCATTTTGATAGTCAATACACTGTACATTGTTATCTTCTTAGTGGTTATCCATAGCACAAGAAGCAGACAGGATATTCTGTCCAAACACTGTGAGTACACCTCTTTCTTCTCAGTGAATTAAGCGAAAGTAGCTGTAAATTTATCCTAACTATTTTGTATATATAAATACAAAATGATCTTTCCTTTGTATCCTTTTTTTTTCCTCTGTCTTTTCTTCTTTTCTTTTTTTTTTTGTACCAGGAATTGAGTTCAGGACCTTGCACTTGCCAGGCAGACACTTATGCCACTGACCTATATCTCTGGCCCTAATCATTATATCAAAGACTTATTTTTATTGTATTGTATTTTAGGGAAAGGTCTACACGGTGTTCAGGATCTCACTACTAGATCCTAGTGATCTGCCTGTTTACAGCCTCCCAAGAGCTGGGATTACAGGTGCCTACCACCACGCCCAGTCTCAGTTGCCATCTCAGCGTGCCTCAGGGGTGGGGCTGGCATGGCAGGCCCAGGGATGGAAATCTGGCTCCTGTGCCTGCTTACAGGGGCTTTAATCCACTGAGCTATTTGGCCAGCCCTTGTTTATTGTAATTTAAAAAATCTTTTTTTTTTTTTAATTTTATTTATTTGTGTGTGTGTGTGTGTGTGTGTGTGTGTGTGTGTGGCCAGCTCAGCCCACTAGGGGGCAGGGCTGGCTGGCATGTGGTGCTGGGGGATTGAACCGAGGTCCCTGTGATTTGCTAAGCTTGTTCCAAGTAGGTGCCTTAGACCACTAAGCCATCTCACCAGCCCCTAAAAGAATCTTTTTATCACAGAATTCAATTATGTGTACTTTTAGAGGTCCTTCACTATTAACCTCTCACTTGAAGTTACAAAAGCTGTGTGAGAATGTTTTCCAATTGCATTGAAACATTTGAGGTCATCTCATATACACTGAAACTCCTGTTCATGAGAATTTCAAGGTGTTTTTGAGTTAATCTGTTTCTGTAAAATGTTGAGAACCACACCGAAAGACACAGCGTTACGTGTTATGTGGAGCTGTTTTGCTATTGTGACTTCTCTTTTCCCACTTCTCTCTTCTAAAGGTTCTTCAGGCCTGAGCTCCTGGCACCTCCGTTTCCGCTGGTCAGCGGACGCCCCTTCTGAGCTCCTGAGGAAGTTCAGAAACTACGAGGTGTGAGAAGGAGGAGAGGGCAGAGGACAGAGGGCAGGGCCGCCGCCCGTGCCGGCGCCCGCCCAGCCTCACATCGCGGGTGCCCGCGCCTGTGTCTTGGAGTTCGTTTTTTCACTGCGGTTATTTTGATGTTGCTTTTGGTGCTGGAACTTGAACCCAGGGCCTATGCACACTCTACCCCCACCCCCATGTGTGTGTGTAAGTGTGGATTTTATAGAAGGCTGCTTTCTTTCAATATTGTATAAATTAAGGTTTTTGTATCCAAGTAGGCAGTGTTATATGTGTTTTCTGCTATGCTATTTATAGGAACCTATTTAAAAATTGGTCTCTGTATTAAAATATTTTATTGATGTATCATGATCTCTATTTGTTAGTGCTGGATGTACAAATCATGTTTCCTGACTCTGTAGTTCAGTGAAATTACTTGCTTAAACTCCGTGGTGAAATAAATAACTTTCCTAAAGTTCATAAGTGTATTTTTAATTCAACTGTATTTTTATAATATTTCAAGTAGTTATTTCTAATTTATTTTTTTAATTTTATTTTATGTATTTGGTACAGGGGTCACTATGCAGCTCAGACTCGTAGTGATCCTCCTGTTTTCAGCTTCCTCAGTGCTGGGATTACAGGCACGCTGCAGCACTCCTGGACTCCGTGGCCAGCTCAGTACGCCTGGGGTTGGGGCCAGTGCCCACATATGGTGCTGGGGATGGAACCTTCTACTTTAATAATTGTGAATTTAAAAGGTTATGGGTTATTTGAGGCTTTTTTTTTTTTTTCAATTGGGGATTGATCTCAGGCCCTTGTACTTACCAGGCAAGCACTTATTGTACTGAGCTATCTCCCTGGCCCCTTGAGAAAATTTTTTAAAGCAAGGTTTCATATATAAGCAATTGATAGAAATTTTTTAGCAAATGTTCAATTTATAAATTATGTTCTATAATAATTTTTTTTTTTTTTTTTTTTGCGGAACCAGGGATTGAACTCAGGCCCTTGCGCTTGCCAGGGAAGCACTTATTCTACTGAGCCATCTCCCTGTCCCCTGTTCTATAATAATTTTATAGTGAATTATTTTATTGTACCCAATGCACAATGATTTAATTACTATAGATTTTTTGTCTGATTAAAAAATTTAATAAACATTTATGTGCCATAAAGTAAAAAAAAAAAAAAATTATGTTCTAGCTCTAACAGTAGGCCTTCTACTAACACAGTTTCATTAGTTTGCAATTATTGGTGGTCATACATAGTCTGTGGTTGTTTTGTGCTTTTTGAACATGTGAAGAGAAAATTAAGAAGAAGGATTTTGGAATCTGAGCATGGTAGAACATGCCCAGGAGTATGTGCTAAGCTCTACTGTTATCCCAGCTCTAAGGGAGGCTGAGGCACGAATCTTACAAGTTTAAGCCCAGCCTGGGGTATTTAGCAAAACTTTGTCTCAGGATAGAAAATAAAGAGCTAGAGCTGTACTTCATTGTGAGTGCCCTGTTTGTTACCCAGTACTGATATAAGGGAAAGAAACTTCCAACTGGGTAGATACCTGAAAAAATTTGTGTTCTCTAAAATTGAAAAATGACCAGGGCCAACCCTGCCCTTGGCATGCTGAGATGGTGATTGAGACTGGGTACAGTGGTGGTGGTGGTGTATGCCTGTAATCCCAGTGCTTGGGAGGCTGGAAACAGGAGAATCACCTCGAGTCTGATCTGTGTAGAGAGATCCTGTCCTCAATACATTGAAAAAATAAATAAATACAAAAGTAAAATTGAAAAATGAATTTTAGGAACAATGGAGGCTAAGAGCTCTTATGTGTAGGAGTCCCCTCTTGGTTCTCGTCTTGGTCCAAGACTGTATTACTTCGGCCCATATTTTTTTAATGTCATTTGTATTGACTCCTTCTTTCTCATTGATGCCTATTAGTCTCACATTGTTCATCTTTGCATCATCTTGCAGGTGATGGATTATTCTTTCCTGCATCCTCGTTTTTAAGAGATCCTTTCTTACCTTTTCACTAGCTGCACCAGCATCTTCCAGATCTGAAACTCTGTCTTCACTTTCACTTAAACGGTTTTGCAAGCTTGTGACTGAGATTTTAATTTCCTCTATCTCTCTTTGACTCTGCTTCATGCGATCTATTTCTTTCCTGTATTGCTCATTCAAGGAATCCATCATTTTTCTAATCTCCTCTATTTGTTTCTCAATGTCTTCTTTAGAAGCAGTTATAAATTCTTTTACTGCAGTGTTTTTCTCAGATTGTGTTTCCTCCCTATATTTCTATAGTTGCTTCTTTACTTCAGATGCTATGAGTTCTGAGAATTCTTTTTTTATTTCAGAAAAGAATTGCGCTCTGAGTTCCTCTATAACTTTCTGCTGTTGCTTATTTACTATCGACGCTATTAATTCATGCATTTGAGTCAAGCTAGTGTCCTCCGCACTTGTTCTGGGTGGGCAGTGGGTTTCCTCCATATGTTTCTGCATTTGATTCTTTACTGCAGATGTTATTAATTCAGGGATTTCTTTTTTTATTTCCAATCTGAGTTCCTCTATACCTTTCTGCAGCTGTTATTTTATTTCAGAAGCTGTTGATTCATTGCTTTCAGCTGTGTGATTCCCAATTTGTGATGTGTTAGTGTCCTCTGCACTTGTTACGGGTGGGCTTGGGTTCTGAGGTTGCATTTTGTTCCTTCTCGTCATTTTGTGTAGCACTGTCTTCTGACCTTTGTTGTAAATCTTCGTTGTAGTTATAACCTTAGCACATACTGAAGTTCAGGTGCAGACCTACAAAGTTTGGATTTATCCAGCTGTGCCTGGCTTGGGTCTGGCTGTTCTGCTCAGCTCCTTCCTGCTGCTGCCCTTGAGGGTGAACCTGTTGTGCCCCTCTGGCAAGATTTTCTGCTCCTGGACTATCTGGGTGGTTCTATCCTCTACACTGTCTTCAGGGTTTCACCCCAGGCCTGTATGCCAGGCCTGAGCTGAGTCTGGAGGGGACAAGATGGAGTAGGGGGGAGAGGCAGCTCTCCCACACACTCACCGGACCTGGGCTAGGACTGGGTCTGGGGGTTCCTGGAATGCGGCAGAAGTTCCTACTTGGCGGGTGGGTTGGGGTAGGTGCTTGGAGTGGTTGGGGGCATCCCAAGGGGGTGGAAGATGGTCTCACCCCCACTGTGCCTGGGCTGGGACCAGTAATTGGTCCCGCCAGCGCAGGGTAGCAGGAAGCTCTCCCACACATTCACCAGACCTGGGCTAGGACTGGGTCTCCCAAGACTGTATTTAATAATCTAAAAAATATGTTATTGGAATCCAACCAAGTTAATTCCAATCTACCACTCCCAGTGCAACCCATGGTAAAAATAAAGACACTAAAACATTCATAATTATGGGGAGCCAAGGGGCCCTAAGTCCAGCCATGAAGATGGCTTTGCAGAACAAAGAGGCTGACCTAGGGCCAAACTCAGGTTTTATCCAGTTGAGAAGGAGTTGCTTGAGGAAGAATGACTGAGAATTGTGGGTAGTAGGTGAATACTCTCAGCTGGGCTAGGTAGGTGGCCTGCATTTACCTCTGTCATATACTGAAAGAAGGATATGCAGAAGAAATAATTTCCATTATGCTATTGAGATAGTATCTAATGTTTTGGGGTCCAGTGCTTCAGCACTGATGTGTAATCTTTCAAGCCCCGGGAAGTCATAACCTCTATCTTAAGGCTCGATTCCAGCCAGCAGTGCAGAGTACTGGCTCTTTGTCCAGTTTCTTTTTTTTTTAATTTTAGGGAAGGGTCTATAGGGTGTTCAGGGTCTCACTACTAGATTGGACTCAAAGTGATATGCCTGTTTACAGCCTCCCAAGAGCTGAGATTACAGGTGGTTGCTACCACACTCAGTCTCAGTAGCTGGCTCAGTGTTCCCAGGGGGCAGGGCTGGCATGCTCGAACCCTGGTCCCTGCACCTGGTTGCAGACACTTTAATCCACTGAGTTATTTGGCCAGCCTGAGTCTTTGTCCTGTTTCAACCCTGCTCATATTAAAGAGCAGCAGGTGTGGGTTATCAGAGAAACACGCATGCTGCCTTCAAAGACTATCACCAGCACCTCGGCTAGAACAATATACATTGCTTAAGGCCAGTTGAAAGGGTAAAAAGGGATAAAGAGAAGTCCTAGCCAGCTCTTGTACATATCAATACAAGGAAAAAGGGTCAGGCTCAGCCAAAATGGAGACAATCGCTCTTCTTTCAAGGAGAGCTGTTCAGGTGGTCCTTCACATTATGGTTTGTGTCTAGTTATCCCTGTCCCCCACTGCAAGCCTCATCTAGTCATTGGGACAATTTTTAGAGTTTGTGATTGATTTATGATCCAATGAGAGAATTATGGGTGTGAGTGCTACACCCGCCCTGGGTTGGGTAATTGACATATAAGGAAGGGCGAGGCTTGGTGGCCTCCACAGCTGCTGTTCCTCCTTTTGCTCTTTGCTGTTTCCTACCACCATGAACTGCTGCCCTCTGCTATGTGCCACTCTGCATTGGAGCCAACCATGTATGGACTGAAACTTGTAGGCAGCTAAATTACATAGAAATATTATAGGCAGTCAGAGAGAGCTAGGCCCTGAAGGGCACAGTGTGGAAGACAAGTGCACCTTACAACTTTGTGAGAGGTTTTGTTTGTTTGTTTGCTTGTATTTAGTACAGGGTCTGCAGGGTCTGCAGGATCTCACTACATAGATTGGATTTGTAGTGATCCTCCTGTTTACAGCCTCCCAAGTGCTGGGATTATTGGTGTGTGCCCTCATGCCTAGTGTCAATCGCTGTCTCTTCCAGTCCCAGGGGCGGGGCCGGCAGGACAGGCCGGGGATGGAACTCCCAGCCCCTGTGTCTGCCTAAGCAGCACCTGTGTCTGCTGAGCTATTTGGCTGGCCTGTCATAGTGATACAAGGAAACCTCCAAATGACACAGGGAGAAAAACTGATTTTCCAATCTAAAAGGTACCTGAAATGAGTTCATGTTCTCTAAAACCAAAGCATGAATTTTAGGAACAAATGGAGGTTATGAGCAGAATATATTTATTGAGGGAAAGAAAGCCCCTGTCTGAGAGAGGGACAGAAGGGGGGCCTGAGAGGATTGTCCCCAGGAAGCTGTCTCTTCCAGGGACTTTTATAGAGGAAAACCATAACAGTGAGGTGGATCTAAGGTGGTGGAGAAGACATGGGAACTCACTTAGGTGGGCATGAGGTGGGACAAAACTATGGTCAGCCAATGAGATTACAAGCACCATTGCTCAGGTAAAATTGATTAAATCTAGTACCATGTGGGGAAGCGAGTCAGGTAGCAAGTAGGCATGAATATGGGACAGGGTCTCTTCCTGTTGAGGGTGGGGTATTGACTCATTTGGGCTCTTTAAAGGTGATTTTTGATACCTATGTGAATATCAGTCCCTGATGGCCATCCCTAGGGAAGTATGTAGCTGTGTTTCCTCTTTTGTCTTGACTTGTGGCCCATGCCCATATGGTAGTGTCTGTCTCTTCCA